AAAGGACTGACAGGAATTCAAAGTGAATTTCAAATTGAATACCAAAGTAGCTGAACGGAAATAAAATTCCAAGTCAGCAATGTTTCCAGCATCTCTGACCTTAAAGTGGCTCTGTCACCTCAAACTTACTTTATCTCCTATTGTTTCCTCTTCTCTTCCTCTCCCAGAATCTGTTCTTCTTAATTTCTGATCTTTTTCTCTTTAAAACATAAGACAAAGTAGTGACTACTTCCTCTTACGTATTTTTCCTACTCTTGACAATCTTGACAAAGGATGGATGGATCGTATGGCAAGCTCTACTTTGTCAAGATGGGAAGAGAAAAGGAAATACGAGTAGAATGATCATTTTGGAAATCACTTTCAACATGCTTAGTGAGAGTCGATAATTCCAACTGGGATGTGTGGAGCAGGTAAATAGGAAAAGAGAGCAGGCAGATATTTTACCTGGTTTTTGGTTGTATCTCACAATATTTTGGGCCCTGCACAGCACAAAGAATGGTCGTTTTTTTTTTTTTTAGGATGACACTCCCCCTGTGACTTTTTGGAAAAAGGAATGCTTGTAGCTGCTGCAAATTTTAGTTATAGATAATAAATAAGATTCCAGGGTGATGGATAAGAATTTTTTTTTTCTTAGCATCATATAGGCATAGAGAGATTAGACATATGGTTGTCATTCAGTGACAACATTAATCCATATATAAATGGAGCTATCAAAGTTTGAATCTAAGTTATTTTCTTAATTTTGACAAATGCCTGCTCACATTCTAAATCTAATCCAAGCTTTTTTTTCTAAGATTATGCAAAGCAAGCTCACCTTACTTGGCTATTCAGTTTATACCCTGTGACAGTAAAAGAAGCTTAACTTGTCCTGATTTACTTGATTGATGAAAATAAAAATGTTTAGCTTATCCCTCCACTTGCTAAATGCTCTGATTTATATTCTCCAAAATATGCAGCTATGACATTTCCAGAATGGACACTTACTGGGAACGTGTCATTTTTCATTTATGATATTTTGGGATAGCCTCATTTTTAAAATAATCTATATTATATAGTCACACACTCATCTCCACGTGATTTCCTGAATTCAGTTTAAAGTAAGATATCATTAATTGTGGGAAAAAAAGGTTATGCAATAGTGTAAATCCAAAAAATGGGAACTAACTCCAATTGTCAAATTAAACTATCTAATGGAAAGTATGCAATTCTAAAACTGTAATTTACTATTAAAGGTGTTCCATGTGAACAGAAGCACAAGGAACAACTTGTTGAATTATAGATCAACGAGGGAAAATATGAAGTAGACAAAAAGAAAAAGAAAAAAAAGAAAAAGAACCATTTAATTATTTTTTAGATGAAATGAAAAATTCTGTTCTACTTATAGAATGTAGAAAGACTGCACACACCACGCAAACTCTGGAACAGGGTACTCTTGGCATCAGCCCTACACCTACCATTTCTTACCAACTTATGGAGGTTTACAAAGGCAACAATTTGCTGTAACAGCAGCCATTCTGAGTAACAATAACTTTTATTAAAATGGGGGATCAGACAGTAAACCCCTAAAGCATCACAAGTGCTTTAGGGGACTAGAGTGTCGATTTAAAAGCACTTTATCACTTTGGGAATTGGATATGCATATCCCTTTCTGATAGACTTGTGCATTTATTTAAAACATTGCCATTCATCTGAGTTTTGAGAGGATCAGTAGTTCAGCCGAAATCCTGAACTCTGAGAAGCTATGTGGATGAATCCTAAAACAAACAAAATGGACAAGTGACAAAACCAATTTGTTTAAATTGTGATTTGGATTTCCATCATTCTGTGGACAAAATTCATCCAAGCCATTTTTTATTTCAGAGGAATTGATTTTGACAAACTGAATTTTTCACCGTGCCCACATCATCTACTTCCTAATGGCTGCTAAAAAAATGCTTCTCTGCACAATACTTATTATATTGTCGTGTTGATTAGCTTACTTTTCTTTTTAGTAGGTGGTAAAGCACAATAAATGCAATAGACTACATTAGTCAGCTGGGTGCACATTTAAAATCTTTTATGTGGGCATAAGTGAATACAGATATGAAAAAAGTAGCATACACTCCACGACTTCAATTAAGAAAGAGATTTTTATTCCAATCTTGTTAAAAGCATAGACATGATTTTAATTGAACTCCTGGAACATTTGTTACTTTCTTTGTATCAGTATTCAAGTTACTCTGAAGGCATACCTTGGACACAAATAGGAACAAGAGAGTCAAGTCTCAAGGTGGCTGTAGAATGTGAGGTAAGAACTGATTTTTACGTTTAACCTCCATTACACATAAGTGATGTTAAATTATAAACATATCTCTAAATTCTAACAGCACTGCTGGATGTGAAAAAACAGCCAACCCTTATAACATTGTCTTACATGTGACAAGGACACCAACGTTTAATATTTTTAAATACTCTCTTTTTGAAAGGGAGACATACAAGGTTTTGAAATCTTTCTCCATTAAAATTAATTTATTTTGACCTCTGTGAATGCAGTGAAGTGTTGATTCACATCCTCGATGTGAAGTTAAGGTTGTCGTTTTTCAACACATATCTTATTGAGCTCAGTTTGTAAATTGCATACATTTCAGCCATTCATGATTTTGATTACTGACGCCATCTGTTTTTTTTTTATTTTTTTTTTCATTTTGCTGACTTGCTTTAGCTGTCTTTAGAATGGTGACCTAAATAGTCTGAGCTATGCTTTCAAAAATGAGTTTATTTCATTTTCACAGAACATTTCAAACCATGTCTTGACTTTAGAAAATCTCCAAGATCCATATATTTAGTTCTTGGCAAAGAACCTTAAATTATTTGTCCTCTCTCTATTTTCTGAATCATTGACTTCTATTATTCGGCTTACAATTGTAGCGTTCTACACACTTGAGCGGCAACATTTAAGCCTGCACAAATTTTGTTGTTTTAGGAAGGATTTTCCTCGTATGACCTCTTCGTGAGCAACATACTGAAGGTCTTTCTTTTATCTCTGTTGCATTTCTAAATAGTTTTAAAACTTAACTTTTAATAATTATTTCTAAAATGAAATGGCTCTAGAGACTAAATATTACGCAGAACAATATTGAAACATAAATCAATAGATACACATGTTATGTACATAGTTTCCATCAAATGCTGGTATCAAAAATGCTCAGTCCAACAGAGTATGAACTTACATATAGCTTGACAATTTCAATAGTTAAAAAGCGACACAAAAATACATAAATAACATTTGTTTTCATGCTGGCATATCCCTGTCAAAATCTTAAAAGTGTATTTCCATACAAGTCCCCAATGAATCAATCATGAATCGGCCTGGACCCCATCAATTAATTAATTGGTATTTCTACAGCTGATTAATCATAGTTACATTTAAATCATCGAAATGTGAAAGACTGCTGATGAACTGTAAATGTTAACACAATCATGATCTCACCTTTACAATACTTTGAGAGTTTTTGAAACATTAACAGAACCATTAGATGCTTATTGTTTTTTCACTACATTGAAAGTAACCAAGAATTCAAAGTGAATTCAAAGACAAAGTCTGATAGCAGCATTTGATTGGAGAAGTGCAAAATTCTGCCGCGTGTGCACTCTGCAATCCAGTGCTTCTGCTGACATCACCAAAGGCAAAGCTGGAGGCTGCAGTGGAACTAGTAACGAGGTGTGTAATATTTATTTCATTTAATTTTTACACCACAAAGTGTGGTGAACAAAAGGGCACGCATAGTCACAAAATAACGACTAAAGGTGCCTACAGGCATACCAGGTGCATCTCCCTTAGCCAAGGTCAAAATCATTTTCTGTGGTCGAACTAAAATAGGAATGTGTTTTTATGCTGTTAATGCATGTGTCTTCTCCAATGGAACTAATGAACTTCAACTATTTTGAGACCTCATGATTTGGGAAAGTTCATAAGGCAAACAATTATTATTTTCTCAGTTCTTAGAAACTGTGTCTTACAATTTGCAGGGATATTTACTAAAGTGAGAATTATTGCCTCAAAGTAAGCACTCAGCACTAGATCAATAACAGCGGGGATCTACCAGACCAGACACAAGGTGCAGACTGTGCAAAAATCGAGTGCAAAGTAGCCAGGTGCAAGTTGTTAGCAGGGATAGCATACAGACAAGTTGCTAGGAATGTGTAATGAAACATCTGCACAGCATATGAAACAGAATTGCAGAAGTTCAAATGGTAGGAACCACAAAGGGTAGTTGAAAATGACAGGGCTGAGGTTCTGTGGGACTTTCAGACCCAGACTGCTGTCCATCTAACTGGACCTTATAGTGGTATACAAGGAACATAAGACTGCAGTGGTGGTGCATGTGGCAATACCCAGTAGCCATACATCAAAAGGAAGGCATGTACGAAGGTGGACAAATACCAAGGAGTGAAAGCAAAGGTAGAAAGGATTTGGAAAGTGAAGGCAGTAGCAGTGCCAGCTATGATAGGAGCTGTTGGAGCTGGAACCCCAAAGTTAGGAGAGGGACTTCAGCAGATTCCAGATGGGACATCTGAGATCACTGTCCAGAAGGGTGCAGTTCTAGGAACAACTACAATACTGCACAGAATCTGCATACTCCCAGGCCTCTGAAAGATACAACGGACAACGGAATATACAACGGAAAACAAATCAACAGGGATTAAAGCAAATGGGTCATGAAGACTGAGTTGTAGCAGCAGAATTAATCATAATACATGATGACCCTTTTACCGGTGTACTTTGGGTGATGAAGACTGAGATAGAGCAGCAGTGCAAGTAATCATATAATTAGGTTGGTTGACAGACTCCAACAGTAGATGGTGATATTACAAATGCATGTTGACTGCATTTAAATACAGTGAACACATTATCCCAATTTTCTCTTTCTTAATGGTTAACCGACACTTTGTTCTAGTAAGCAGTGTTTGTGTTAACTTTGATCAAATCCTCTAGTACAGTGTTCTCCAACCAAGTCATCATGGGCCACCAACAGTCCAGGTTTTGTCAGTATCTCCATTGGAATAAAACAGGGAAATGCATAAATCCTGGACTGTTGGTGGTCCATGAGGACTGGGTTGGGGACCACTGCTCTAGTTTATTCACCAGTAAAGCTTACTTTTCTGAAAATGAAACCTGCTATAGTTCTTACAGCAAGCCTAGGTCAAAGATAGACAAGATGAGTGAAATTAAAAGTAAAAATACCCATATAAACAAATGTTAAAGAATAGAAGTGATGGAAGAGAATTTGAAAATACTGCAGTAAAGAAGAATGTGTATGAGGCAGAGATGGATGAAGGGCAATAAATTGGCTGAACAAACCCCACCAATGTCTGAACATTTACAGTACACTACAGTTACAATGGCATAACCTTGACTTTGATTAAAGGGCAACTGACACCTCAGATATATATATAAGAATCCTCTCCTCAAGTATTGAAAAGAGAATTGGATTTTTTAAGTGGATATAAGCATATGAGAAAAAAATGATCCCTACCTTTAGTATACTCCATTAATCTTCAGCCACTTGTTCTTTAATTTGTTTAAATTGGAATCAGAAATGATTCCATTCTGTTAGAATTTTTTTTTTCAAATGATTTATGTACAAAATTGCCATTGATAATGATGACATCACTAGATAAATAATTATATATTTTTTTCTAACAGTATGCAATTATCCTACAAGTTACTTATAATAAATGTTTCAGTAAGAGCATAGTGAGATTGGTACTCGGAGAAGTAGGTGGAAACATAGTAAATCATCTCTGTTATTTTGTCCAACTGCAATCATAGAACGAAACAAATAGAAATACAATGTAATGTTAATGAAGACATTTTTTCTCAAGCACCCTTGGAGATCCAATGTAACTCAGAACATCGGAATTGCTTAATTTGTGGTATTAGGCTATTTTGGTTCATGAAGGTAATAGTTTAAACACTCTGTGTTAATGATGTCTCTTGGAAAAAGTGATTTGAAGGGGAACGTGAGATTGCTGAATAGCAGATTGATTATGCCAACAAACAGATGGTGGGAGGGCTATAGGGATGGAAGTAATAACTGGGGAGGAAGGAGGAGAAGAAAAGTGCATCTTAATGTACAATTCTCCTGTGATTGGAAAAACAAAGTTAGCTGCGAATACATAACAGTTGAAAAGGAGAGGATAGTAGCCGTACAATGCATTGCATAACATGCTTAAACAGCAGTGCTGATATTATTTAGAGAATAAAGCAGGTTTTAAATGGTCTGGCATAAACTACAGAATGGCTGAGGTGCCCTTCATTAAAACACAATGATTTGAAGTTATTATTAAATAGTGATTAGTTATCAATATATTGATTAGTAATTTCCTACTATTTCTTTTTGATTAGTAATTTCATACTAAGACTAACTGTAAAAAAATTACTAATTAATGAATGTAGTAATTGTTCTACAGCAATTAGTCAAAAGACAATTTAGATATATATAAATCATTGAGAATTCTAAGTGACTAAGAGAACCTGAAATCTTTAGCCGAAACAGTCAAAGAGGGAACATTTAGCACATCGGCCTGTTTTAATTCAGCTTTTTTGTACCTGAACTTGCTCCAAAGTCACCATGTAAATCAACTTTTTTTTTTTAGAAAAACAAAAACCAAATATAAAATATAACTAGCAAAACATTTATAATATTGCAGATTTTAAAACAGAAAAAAATATAAAATAGAAGGGTCATATGAAAAAGAGATAATGATTTAACACAAGATCCTGAGCCATCTTTGTCATGGATAACTATGAGCTGACACAATTTGGTGGAAAAACATTTCACCAGCCCTTAGCATGGCCAGATTAAATGCAAAAAGAGTAGTACAGGACAAGTAGTACAGACAATAGAATAGAAATTGAACCAAGGACAATAGATAAAAAAATAGTCAAGGACAAACCAAGGTCAGATAAGCCAGAGATTTACATGAAATAAGGCAAACTCGGATTAACTAAGCAAATGGATACCATGACAGGGCACACTAAACCAAAAAGCTATGGGCTTTGTCCCATGTAACACCAGAACGTGTACGCAAATATCCTGCGTGACGACATATGCACGTTCGCATCATCAATGTGATCCAAAGAGATGGAACCTTTAAAAGGTTCTGGCATGCAGCAGCAGGCATTGGTAAGAATGCCAGAAGAAGGGACAGCCGCATTGGAGAAAGACGTGGACAGCGTTCGTGGTAAGTGTATGGCACTTATGGAAATGCATCTTTTGGAACACTAGCTGACTGAGTGCCATGAGAATCTATTTAAGAATATTATGGACATTAACAGTTAAATGAAAAATTAAGTAAGCAAGAAGAAAGTGAAAAGAGAAGTAGAGGCAATAAAATAAGGAAAAAAAAGTATGTGGACCACAGTACGAACAAAGGGGTCACAATTAACATAATAATGTTTCAGCTCAATAAGTTAGAAGGAATGTTTAGGTATAGGTAGAGCATTCCAAAAACAAATCTTACAAAAAGAAAAAGTGTTTCAAGTCTGCTCTTTTTCAGTCATTTTTCCAGGAACCCTGGCATCAAAATCTTTCCCTTGGCTGTAAGAATATCCACATGACTAGAAAATGATGGTGTAATTGAACCTGCTAATTTAATATGTGTTGGATGAGTGAGCATCCTAAATTGTAAAAGCTCCCCCATCCCATCCATTTTTAATTACTATGTCCACATTAATGGGTTTTGAGATCACTAAGGCATTGTTTCTGCTGTAGTAATTTACGCTTGGGTTGTGCAGATTCTGCTTGTTTGATGCTTGTATGGAGCACATCTCACATCTATTTAATTAGTGGGTCCAAGCATCATGCATATTTCTATGGGTAGTCATTCTTGCATTTAGGAAAAAAAGGAGTTTTATTAAAGCTAATGACTGGGGAATTACACACACAAACACACATCTGAACACACATACACTTCATAAATGCACACACACAAACACACGTACACACACTATTAACGTTTACTTAATGGTATAATGAATGTGTGTACATAGGGGTGCAATGGATTCAAACACAGCATTATTGCATCATTTCTATCTGCTCAGTTGGAATTCTGCAGTAATTGTACCCTTCTCTGTTTCTGTACTAACGATTTACACATAAATGTAGATTTGGGGACATATCCCACTGGAATTTCTGTGTATTTCTCTGCTCCCCTCACTTCCTTGAGTGGTTCTTCTGGCACCCTTTACACCCTTGGTTGTCTCTCTTGACAACCTTCCTTCTCTGACTGTCCATTTTTTTAGACAACTCTTCTGACCCTCTTACACCCATGTATGTCACTTCTATGTGTCTTTTTAAGCTCTCTACCACGGTCACATCAGAATCTCCCACCTACCTAGACTGTTGTGTGGCTGAACAGGATAATAGAAGAGGCTAGACATATCCTCTGCCTGGCTAATTAGTGCTACTTTGAGCAATCAGCATGCAAGGTGAGTGGTGAGACGGTGGGATATGATGTTAAGTACTTGCCCCTTACACTCACTCTTGGTGCCGTTCAAAGCATTACTGTGAGACCAGGTAGAGAAGCATTCAGAGAGACTCAGAAAAGCATAAATTGTTTGACAATTTAAGTAAAGGATATTGTGTGCTCCTCCTGACTGTCATTTGGGGAAGATCAGCACCACTCCTTATTACGCTACTGGGTTGATGGGATTTTCATTTTGATTGCGGTAGCTTTATTTTACATTATTTTTGTGTATGCTTTCCTATCATTTGTACGGCTGAGAATCATGGGGGTGGCAGTCCCGAGCATATCCATGGCAGGCGCTTCTTAACTCTACATTTTGCTAACCTACAGACAAATGACATCTCATATCCTATAACACTTACTCACGAAATCTCCCCTAACCCGAATTTTATCGTAGCAGCATCTCTATAAACACTGTTCTTAGTGGCAACGCAGCAGCAGCATTTCTGCTTCGCTATAGTATTTGCATTTAAAACTCACTATTTCAAATGCAACATTTTAAATGTATATGTTTCAATTTTAAAAAATATATCTTAAGCATTATTCACAATGAAACAAATTCCATAGCGCAATTATAAAACTGTAAAATCTTAAAGTATGCAAAGTGAAACTTTTATTTTACTGTAAAACTTTACCTAATCCTATTCTAACCTTGAAGATTAAACCAAACAGCAGATAATAAGCACCAATGGCTGATTGCTGAATATACTATCCAGTGTTTTTCTCATAATTAACATCACACTATGTGGTTCAGATTTGGCTGACAATTTGTATAGGTCTTTCACAAAGTCTTATCAGGTACCTGGCAATTTGCATATCATTACCCTCTATAATCCTTCATTTGAGCTGGGCTTGGATTTAAAACTCTAATTAACTTTTTAAAGTGTTATAGTTGAGTTGGAAAAAAAAAAGTTCATAGGTTTCCTTGCATTTAATTTATTTATTGGGTTTAGCAAAATAATTTTACAAACTGCATTATTTGCTACAGAGGAAAAGGACAATATACCCTAACACTTCTCAAATATTCTACTATGAAAGACAAGATATCTTCATATTTAAAGTGATATGTACATTCATCACAAGAGTACTTTTGCATGGTTATTTACTAAAATGGTAATTGCTGAAAATTCAAAGTATATTCAGAGTGAATTTCAAATTTAACTAAATACTATAGAGTCGGGAATACAGGCATGTATTTTTAATGCTATATAGTGCCCTAGTTACCATTAAGGTTACGGGGAACTACTGCACGGGTTAAAAAAGATAGCTTTGCTTAACGGTTCTCTCTCGCAGTGCTGGTTGCCTCGGTAAAAATCCACCTCTTTGTCTGCGATCATCGTCTCCAATAGGAAAGCATTGGGTGGCTAGTGCGCATGTACAATAAATGCCATGCTTTGCCAATCAACTGGTCTCTCTGAGACCATCTGATAGAAATAGAGGACTTTTATGAGAACCATTAGAGGCAGGTTAACCCTGCAAAGAAAACATTGCCATTCCGCAGAACCAGAATATTTTCAGTTGCAAAATGGTCTGGGTGCCTATAGTGTTCCTTAAACGCCAAAATAGCCGAACTGGAAAAATTC